GAAATCGAGTAGTGGTTAGAAGAAGAAAAAACTTTGCATACGAATACTCCATTAGTACTTGAAGCAGATGATGGAATTGGAAAGAAAACGCTCTTGGTAAAATGGATGGAATATCATGCCAGAAATAAAAAAGGAGTAAGAAACTTGTAAATAATAGCGATATCCTGATTTCATCATTCCACATTTTGCCACTTAATCAGGAAAAAATAGCAATTATTATTATGCAATATATAGAATCCTAATTAAATTAAGGGAAGCTTTGAATATTAAATAAAAAGTAGAGCTCTTAGAAGAGAAGCTTAGACGATATTTTTAATATTGGCTAGAAATATGTAGTAGACAATTAGAACAATAAATTATTAATGGAGCAGAAATAATATATGATAAGGTATTGCATAAACTATTAATATCAAGGTAATTTTGGTATTTGAAGGTATTGATAATTTTAGAGAAATATTGGATATGCATAGAGAAGCCAATGTGAACTTTTGGTTACCTAAATACTTTCCCACTAATATTAAAGTTATTGTAACTGCTGAAAGACAATCAGCTTCTATGAGATTACTTAAACCAGATTGCTAAGTTATACCTATTGTATCTGATAAAGCATTTATGAAATAAATGGTCAATAATCATTTAGGAAAAAAACTATTTGTCTAAGTAATTTGCTTTTTAAAATAAATCTATAGAAATTTGATCACATTTTAGATATCTTCATTCAACTCAATTATAAAGTTCGAAATCAACCTTTATTTGTAAGATCCTATTTCTCAGTATTTGTGCCTTATCCAACAGAAGGAGTTGTTGAAGAAAATGAAATAGATACTTAATTGATTGAAAATATTCTTAATTCCTTAAATCCTGATCACTTTAAGTCAATGAAAGTTGTCGAGGATCTATTTCAATTCCAATTAGAATATTTCTCTAATTCTGGATTGCTTGATAAAGAAAAATTTAGAAATGTTCTACTTGTCCTAGCTCTAACTTAAAAAGGATTAACATATCCAGAGATAGAATCTGTTTGTGAAATATCATAATAAGAATGGAAAAGATTTCTTGTATTTTTTAAGGTCAATATTATGAAACATAGAGATTTATGGATAATACATAATGAAATATTCAAAAAAGTTATTATTAACTAATATTATAAAGAAGTAGAAAGCATTTTAGAGCTTCATGATAAAATTGCAACTACTATTGATAAAATAACACCAAATTCTATTCGAAAATTGGAAGAATAAACATTTTAATTATTTAGTGCAAAAAATTACTTTGCATTAAAAGAAGTTATTAGTATTATAGAAAACTTTTTGCTCTTATTTAATCCCTCTAATAAATATGATTTATGTCGATATTGGTAATCTTTAGAAGAAAATGGTTTTGATCCAGTTTTAGAATATAATAAAGCTGTTGAAGGTTTTCAAATTCATTATCATCCAAATGCAGAAGATATGTTTAGGATAATAATTCAAATTTCTAGATTTTTGAAAGAATTTGGAGATTTTGAAACTAAAAATACACCTGTTTTTAGACATCCTCCTATTATTGGAGTTCTAAGTGATCTATATGATATTGGGTTGTTATATGAAATATTAAAATTGGATCTATATTTTGATAAAGCACCAGAATTAAAATAGTTTGATCCAGCAAAACATTTAAAAAGAGTAGCAAAACCACAGATAGCTCCAGTATTATCAAAATAGGAATCATTGAATGTTGAAATAGCTCAAAATAGAGCAGAAATTAGATCTTATTATTTAAAGTAATTAAGTCGTCCAGTTGAACCAACAGATAATGAAGAAGAATTGCCATAATCTGTAGATTAATTGGCTGAAGAGATTGATTAAAAACTAAGAAAATTACTTCAACTTAAAGAAGAAAACTTATCAGAAGATCTTTTATCATCTAATGATAGAGAATCAACTGATTATTATTATAAAAGATGGATTTGGATTTAGTTTCCTTGGGCTTGTATGAGTGTAAGTAAAAAATGTGATTATTCTACTGTCATTAAGTAATGTTTTTCTTCTGCTACAGATTATATGAGTGTAGAAGATGAAAATGCTTTTACTGAATCTGCACTTAAAATAGCATTAGAAGCTAAAAGAAAATAAAAAGAAATGTATGAATAAAAACACCATGAAGAGATTAGATTATAAATTATTCCTTAGGTTTCTGTTTTATAATAGAAGAGTATAGATGAAGTAATGAGAAAATAAAAAAGAGAATAATTAGAATTTAGTTCTATATCTAGTGCAAGATTTGATAGATCTACAATATCTATTTTGCCTCCTTTATCCACTAGAAATGCATAATCAAATAAAACTATTTCACCTGACCCTATATATCCACATTTAATGTTCATTACTTCTGATTTTACTGATTCCAATCATTTAAATGAAGAATCTAAATCTATTAAACTTACTTAAAGTAGTATTCCTAATGATGGTAAGAAAACTATGTAATTGCTTGAAGAAATTAAACCAAAAAAAGAAAGACTTAAATAGTTTTCTACTTCTTCTGTACAACATCATGCTTATAAATATACAGAAATCTTCCCTGTTATTAAAGGATCAATCTAAAATCATTCTAATTCTTAATTAAATGTTTTAAATGGACAATTAAGGATGATGAAAGGAAAATTAGATTAAATTAGTTATGAAAATCTAAAATTGGCTAAAACTTATAAACTCTTAAAAATTATGGATTTTAATAAAGGATATTTAATAAGAGAAATGAATAGTTTAGATGGATTAAAACAGGCACTTGAAGTTTTTAAAAAATAAACTGATGTTGCTGAAAAAGATTTAAAACGAAGTTATAAAATGAAGACCAGAGTAAAAAAAATACTTAAGATTTGTCGGGATAATAAATAATAAAATGAAGAATATATCAGAAATTTAAATTACTTAACCAAAAATTTTATTAAGTTAATAAAATTTGAAGAATAAGAAATTAAAAAAAGTTAACTTAATATTAAATTTGCCAAAAGATAATTTGAAGAGTTTTTAAGAGTCTATAGAGAAAAAAGAAACCATTAAAAAAATTTAATTCTTTAAATTAAAGAGAGTTTGAATTAAAAAAAATTACTTGATAAATTATTCTAAGATGGGGATGGCATAATTGTAGAAAAAGCTAATGCTTCCATTAAAAAATTAAGAAACAAATTAGCAAAAAAAGAAGATGATTCAAAAAATAAAAAAAATAAAGAAGCTTAAGAAAAAGAAGAAAAATTACTTAGTGAGAGACTATAATAATTTGAAGCATCATATGAAAAAGTTAAAGGAGGAGTTTTTGATATTAAGAATACAAACTATAATGTAACGAATGAATTTATTGACTTCATGGCACAAAAAGATAGAAAAAGTTAATATGAAATTAAATTATCTGAAAGAAGGTAGAAATACACAGAAATCAAAGAATAAGAGACTAAATTAAATGAATAATTACATTCATATTAAAATGCTTATTTGTCTCTTAATATTCCACGATAGTCAGAGTAAAAAACAGAAGGTAATTAGTTTTACTATTTAATTTTTATAGATCCAAATAATAATAAGAAATAGTCTTCTAATTAATAATAATAAGAATAATATTTGAGAAAGCTAATGCTTTTATAAGCTAGATTAGCAAGTTCATTAGAATAGCTAAATGAAAAATGCAAAGTTAAAAAAGAAGATCAGGTAATATGTTTCTAAATTTTAGTTGATTGAAGAATTAAAAAGTAGAAAACAATTAATAATAAAAAATGAAGGGGAGGCATAATATATGAAACTCATTAATAATAAATATGATATTGATTTCCTATTAAAACAAAGCGCCCCTTTTTATTTTCCTAAAAGATATACAGTTCATAGTAGTAGATAACCAAGTCAAGAATGAATAATAAAATTAAAATGATATAAAGTAAAATTCTTTTAATTTTTTCTGACAAACTTGTTTACGGAATAGTTATAATTATGTTTTAAATAGTCTATTTTAAAGCCAATATTTAAAATAGAATAGTATTTTTTATTCGTTTCTCTAACGGGCTAAATATTGTAAAATATCTTTAAAAAACTCAATTTATAATTCAATGTTGGGGTTATTCTGTTTTAAAATTATTGCTCTTAATTTTAATAAAATCAAGCCCAAATTCTAAAATATATAAAATAAATCAAATTTTAATTATATATAAATTTTTAATTTTTTCATTTATTGATACCTATCCCAATATTTTGATGTTTTTTTGTTTGATGATTTTTAATATAAATTAGTTATTTAAGTTGATAAGATTTTCAATTCTTTATCAATATATTCTTTATTTAATATAAATTTATTCATTTCTATTCAAATGTTATCAAATCAAAGCATCCCTATAAACTTTTAATTTAAATTTTTGCTCGATCTTCTTTCTGTAAGTGGTTTGAGAGGACTTTAAAGGTAAGAACCTGATCTCATATCAATTATAACCGTTTCAGAAATTTGAGTTGATTTCTAAAAACGATAGATAAAAAATTGTTACCAATTCTTTTGTTTCCTTGAATTCACGAGAGAAGAATAATTTAGATGTCAATTTTTAATCAATTTATGTTATGGAGGGCATGGCTAATTAGGGGTCATCAAAAATCTCCATTTTATCCAAATCACCAATGATTGAAATTTTCATTGGTTCTATTTTCTAACCTTTATAAGGATGGAAGATAATGGGTGCCTTTATTTAGGGCTTTATTTCATTTGCATTCAAAGTCACATTAATACGATCCTAACAGCATCCCATTCTCTTTATATTAACTTAGAGAAATTGATTATAATTAAAAAATCAAAAAGATGCAAAAGTTTTTAGTTCAAAACTAATTAAGATTCTTCAAACTATTAAACATTATTGCTGGAATTTGAAATCATTGAGATTCCTTAACTTTTTGAAAAGATATTAAATACAGTAAAACATTTATTATGTTTCTAGAACCCACAATTAAAACTAATAAAAAACAAATAGATGGAACATTTTTAAATCAATAAAAGTGTTATGTTCAATATTTTAAATTTTAGAGAAATTAAGAAGATATAGAGAAATCTACATGATTATGTTCATAATTACTTAACAATAATTCGTATTTGAATTAATAATTCATATTTTTATTAAGTTTTTCAAATCTTTAAAATGAGCAACAATATGTTTAATGTCCTCAACATTTCTGATGAAGAGGATTCAAAAACCCAATAAGTATAATAGAAAGCATAATAACAATAAGCTAAAAAAAGTAAGCATATAAATAAATTATGTATTAGATAAGTAAAAGCTTGAATAAGAATAAGTGATTCCAGTTGATTAAGTAAAGAAAGAAAGCACATAACACCATAATCCAGCCCCAAAATAAAAGGGACTTACAGCAGAACCTCATCCTAAAGATAGACATTCTGGAACAGGAATTGGAAAAGAACTTCGTAAAGAAGGAGGAGGAAGAAGAAATTGGGGAAATTATAAAGATGATTTAAAATAGGATAAGTATGAAGGTGCAACAGAAACTAAAGAAGCATAATAAGAATTAACTACAGAATAATAGGCTGAAGATTAATAGCCATAAGAAAATGTACCTTAACCACCAGCTGAAAAAACTTTAGCTGATTATTATTAAGCAAGAGGAGTGGTATATTTTTATTTCTAATATTTTATATAGAATGTTGATGAAGTCTTAAAAAAGTAAGAATAGAAAATATAGCCAGTAGTGAAGATTGATGAAGAGGCATTGAAAAAAGAAAAATTATAAGTTGTAAGAACAAGAGAAGATGAAAAAAGAGAATAAAAAACAACTAAAAAATCAAGTGGCTAATAATAGGGATACAGAAGTGAAATGAGTACAGAAGCATAATAATACTTTGGATTTACAAATGATACAAGAAGAAATGACAGAAATGATAGAAATGACAGAAATGACAGAAATGACAGAAATGACAGAAATGACAGATAAGATAGAAATGATAGAAATGATAAAAATGACAGAAAAGATAATAATAAAGGATAAAAGAAATAAGTAATTGATTTATTAAATAAATTAGTAATAACCAAATAATGGAGTTCAATTTGATGATAAAGATTTCCCATCTTTATGAAGTGAGTCTTCAAAACAAATAGAAAAGTGAGAAATTTGGTTATATATAGTAAAAATATCAATTATAATTTCACTCTTTTCTCATTAGTGATTGTACTTCACTTAATTTATTAGATACTGGTAATCTAAGATTGATTTCTGATTTAGT